AAATTACATGACTCATGGAACCCCTGCGCAAAAACAAAATTATATACCATATCTTTCTCATTTTCATCGTAGTTCATGTGTCAAATATAATAGTATATATATAATAGTATATAATAGTATGTATATATATATATAATAGTATATAATAGTATATATTTTTGAATAACTGGTTTAAGGAAAAATTAGTACTTCTTTGTCAAATTTTTGCTCAAATTTTCTGATAATGCTAAAGAAAATTAATATTCGTTTATAATACTTCATGAGGGAGTTTTCATTCACTCTCTCTCTCTCTCTCTCTCTCTCTCTCACACACACACACACACACACACAATAAATAAATAAAAAGTCAAAAGTACATTAGCTTATCTCACCTGTTCCCGCGGAACACTTGGGGACATTTGCGGAACCTCAGGGTTCCGTGGAAGCCCGGTTGAGAAAGGCTGCTCTATACCAACGGGGTTCTAAACGAAGGGGTAATTATCCCCAGGGGTATTACAATGTTTCAGGGTGGGGCTTTACATTTTTTAAAATTTTTTATTTACAGAATTTTGTTTATTGAATTACAATACCCTGATATTTTATTAAACGATTTGGTTATTAAAGTATGCTTCAGTTTATTTATTTAATAATTAGGTATGAATTATAAAAAAAAAAAAATAGTGTACATATATTCAATTTTAAAAATCTTTCAACATTTTCTATTGCTACTAAATTTGTAAAACTCCTTTATAAAAATAATCCATGTTTTGAGTCGGACAGTCTCGGAAAAGGTGTGAATAGCATTCTCACTTATGGCGTTAAGGGTGCACTGGGTAAAAAAAAAAAAAAAAAAGCTGTGAACCACGACTCATTCTTTCTCGGTGTATATATATATATATATATATATATATATATATATATTGCTTTACTTGTTGACCATGTTTGCCGTAGTCTCTGAATATGGAATCCAGTGAAGTCCGTAATGTCTTCAATATCAGTGGTTGTCAATGTAGATTCGGAGAAAGTAGCGGCTGCTAATTCTCTAAGTCTTCGATATCAGGGGTTGGCAGTGGAGATATTTTGAGAGAAAAAAACAAAATGTCTGCCTTTATACACGTCGCATTGAATATTTTGAGCTTTCTGATGGGTTTACCCTTCTATTAGTGAACTATAAAATGAGTCAGCTCATTTTGACTGGCTCGCTAGTAAATACATATCCAAAAAACTGTAACATTACTAAACAATTTTTTTTTACAATTTTAATAAAAGCCAAACATATCAAACAGGATTGATGCATTTTTTCTCAAGAACTGATAATGAAAATGTTAAACACTATCTGTTTAGTAGATTATTTGTTTAATGATTTATTAAGTAAAACTTAGATGTGGTACAAGGTCGGAGCACCGAGTGAAGAATGAATTCACTATTAAGCTGAAAAGCTGGCTGACCATTACACCAAGATTAAGTGCTCTATTAGGTCATTTATTTGCAAGAATAATTTTATATTTACAAATTAAATCTGTGGACTACAATGCAATGTTTATTATGTAATATATTATAAAGAATTAACAATGAAAACAAATGATAAATAAACATTGTTTAATAGTTTGCGGTCAGTTCTCGTGCAAAAAGAGAATTTTAAGTCTAGTTCCATACGTTTGAATTTTATTAAAATTCTAAAAACGGATTTTGAAATCAATAAATATTCATCAAGTCTAGGTTTTTGCAGCAAATAAAAGGCTCTTTGAAGTAAGCGTGTCAAGAAAAAAAAAGTTCTTTTGACAGACCTTTTTGCTAATAGCTTTCTTAAACTTTGCTGAAGGCGTCCTAGCAATAACTTCAAAGAGTCTTTTATATGCTTCAAAAACCCTACACTTTATGAATTTAAGCGCAGTACTCGATTGACAACAAGGTTTCATCAATTTACAGATGAAATGGCTACATGTAACCGTAAGTTCTATGTTAACAGTTTCTTTTCGAGCACTTCTTGCTTGGGGAACTCCCTTCCGGCTTCATGCTTTCCTGCCAACTTTGATCTTCAAAAATTTAAATGCAATGTCATTCATTATCTACTGTCTTCTTGATTACTCTTCTATTGTTCTCGCTTTTTAATCATATTTTTTTCTTCTTCTAATTCTTTCAAACTCAGTAAGCCCTTTTATCTTAGTGGCTTTATTCCCTTGCATGGGGGTGAAATGATTTAAATAAAAAAAATCAACTTCCATAATTCCGTAAGACATTGAATTAAATGGAAGAAGATTATATTGAAAATATTCGTGCCAAATTAATACATTCTTTAATTAAGCCACGGACTTATTGATGGACTTTGCATATAATGCTTCAAATGCCACATTCTGAAAATCATTAGATGTGTGGGTGGTATAATGGATATGAGCTCCAAATGACAAATCTGAGAGTTGGGTTCGAATTCCAGTCAGATTCAATGTTTTCACTTACACGCAATTACCATTGGGAAAGGTATGAATCCATCTTCTCTCCTCACCTATGGGTTAAATAGTGGGATTTGCATCAGGAAAAATCATTCTTATTCTCAAAACATTATTATTGCAATATTCACTTGCAAAAAATAATTATTCCCTTTATCTTTTCCCTTTAAATAAGCCACAAAGTTTGATAAACCCTAAAAAAATCAATCAGCACTTTATGCCAGAAATGGCTAGATGCAACCGTAAGTTCTATGTTAACAATTTCCTTTCTCACACTTCTCGCTTGTGAAAATCTCTTCCAACTCCATGCTTTCCAGCCAACTTTGATCTTCAAAGATTTAAATGCAGTGTCGATCATTATCTACTGTATTCCTGATTAATCTTCTATTGTTCTCGTTCCTTAGCATTGTTTCTGTTTTCTAATTATTTCACACCCAGTAACCTCTTGTACCTTAGTGGCTTTACTCCCTTGCACGAATTTGATTAACAAAAAAAAAAAAAGATCCCTCCAGGCAGATCTGTTGGCGGTGTTTCTCAGTAGTTTTGGCATTGTCATGTCTCGTCCACTCTTCGGTGTTGCCTGACCAGCACCTGTGTTGCCGTCCTCGCTTGAGTCCGCCTTCAAAATTGCCTTGCATGATGGTCTTGCAGAGGCTGTCATGATGCGTGAAGTATGTAAACGACGCCATCTTTCGACGCTTAACGGTGACGAGGAGAGATTCTTGTCGACCCACGAGGCATTCGACCTTGCACAGGTAGAGTGCCTAATTATGGTGACGAAAAATGAATTCAAATAAGAAATACTTATTCAAATAAGATAATCTCACGATATTGCACCACTATATTAGTCACAGCTGAGTTACAAAGAAAGATACAGGCACTGGAAATGAGATGCTGTTGCAAAACATTGGCAATCTCATATCTGATCACATCACCAACGACCACGGACGTAGTAATATGCAGCGACTCATTGGCACACACGAATAATTTCTCACGATCGAACCTCTATCCTATACGGAACCGTCATTTAACTTGATGTGCCTTTAACCTATTTGGCCACAGAGGAGCGTTCGGTTAGCAAGGTTAATGCACGTCAGGCTGAATGACAGTTCCGTAAGTGATACTGGTTCGATTCCTATCGGAGGACAAATATTTTCTATGAAAATTTCTCGGCCATTCAGGCCAGCAAATGTTGTTCATTATAAACAGAGCATTTACTTAAATATTTGTGTCTATAAAAAGAATGTATAAACATAAAATGACTTAAGATATAGTTTATATTACAGGTTCTTTGAATATTTTTAGGGTAGCTTATGTTGAAATACCTTTTGCATCCTATATCTCCCACAAAAATTTCCAGTCGCTCACAATTTCCTGTTCCGTTGCACAACACCCAACGAACTGCTGAGATCGCCCACCGGTGGGCGATATCGCCCAGACTGGAAAACCCTGGATTATAAGGAACTTGAACTCTGACAGTCGATTCCTAGTTGCGTTCTTATAACCGTTACCGTAACCACACAAATCAATTCAAATATAGGGAGCGTCAGAAATACACCCCGCAACCAATAAATACCTCACACATGATGGTAAGATATTAGCAGCTAATGATTATCTAGATTGAAGACGTCATTGTCACTAGTGCCTTACAATTATGTGGGAGGTATATGTGGATTATTTCTGCCGCACCCTGTATAACACATTACTGTCTTCACTACATTTTTTTTAAAAGGTTAGAAAATCCAGGGAGGATGGAATCATGACGTTTTCTGAAAGATGGTAGAAGATGGAGGAATCAAACGGTAACTATTTTTCAGCAAAGTTTATACAGAAAAAAAACACTGCCTTATATTTTTATACCGAACGAACTTTTTGGTCAATCTTCCCCAACTGTGTTTGTGCGTGTGTTGTACTTGCGTGTGTGTGTTGTACGTGTGTGTGTGTGTGTTGTACGTGTGTGTGTGTTGTACGTGTGTGTCTGTGTGTGTGTTGTACGTGTGTGTGTTGTATGTGCGTGTGTGTTGTACGTGTGTGTGTGTTGTACGTGTGTGTGTGTGTTGTATGTGCGTGTGTGTTGTACGTGTGTGTGTGTTGTACTTGTGTGTGTGTGTGTTGTACGTGTGTGTGTGTGCTGTACATGTGTGTGTGTTGTACTTGTGTGTGTGTGTTATACCTGTGTGTGTGTTGTACATGTGTGTGTGCTGTACGTGTGTGTGTGCTGTACGTGTGTGTCTGTGTGTGTGTTGTACGTGTGTGTGTTGTACGTGTGTGTGTGTTGTACGTGTGTGTGTGTGTGTGTGTGTTGTACGTGTGTGTGTGTGCTGTACATGTGTGTGTGTTGTACTTGTGTGTGTGTGTTATACCTGTGTGTGTGTTGTACATGTGTGTGCTGTACGTGTGTGTGTGCTGTACGTGTGTGTCTGTGTGTGTGTTGTACGTGTGTGTGTTGTACGTGTGTGTGTGTTGTACGTGTGTGTGTGTGTGTGTGTGTTGTACGTGTGTGTGTGTGTGTGTGTGTGTGTACGTGTGTGTGTGTGCGGGGCCGTGCGTGTATAAATATCGAAATAAGTTTACTTACGATGCTGACGATAAAAGCATGTCTACGGTATAATCAGTCAAACTCGCCGCCACAAACTGATGCTTGCTGTATTCTGATGTGCCGAAATTTCCCACCTCATCAAACCAAATCGTCCGGCACCGATCTCCAACCATTATGTGACCCGTCCTAATCTTTGCCTGCCAAATGCCGCCCAGATCGATATCAACCGCTGATTTATTCTGGCAGATTTTCACCGAACGATGATGAACACTGCACGCTTTGCTTCGCCCTGAAACGGCAGCTGCCATATCCTGGTTCAGATCGACCAGTCGGATAGCCTTATCTACCGTGACTTCCAGTAGGACACCTTGCCTCAAAAAGATGTTTATCAGTCCTGATTGGGAGACATAGATTGACGGGAAGGAGTCAATGAGGCAAGCGAGACGCTCGACCTGAGGATCAAGCGGTGTAACGTCGCCTGGAGGTTTCCGCAAGATACGTTTGCAAGAGTTCGCAATATTGGAAGGCTCTTGCTTTGAGTTCTCACTGATTTTCTGTGATCTGGGAAATGAGCCTGAGAAATTGAGAGGTCGGTTTTCTTTTTGGGACTCGTCTTCTTTTAGAAACGTCTTTAAATAAGTGGCCATCTTAAGCGCAGCTTCCTGGAGGTAGGCTGGATTAAAGTATTTTGAATTTGAGAGATATTTGCGATGTAATTCTTCCGGTTTTGTTTTGTTGTTCATTGAACACAATAAGATGGATTCCTCTTTTGACAAAATGTTCCTATTATGAGCTGATTTTGGTTTGGTGAGTAATTCTTTAGTCCCGATCTCTGTATTTGAAGAATCTCCGTTATTTGTAGACGTGATGTTTAATATTGAACCGTCTATATCTGAAGATGTCTGATTCATTGTTTTGGAACGATGTCTGATGTTATTATTGTAATTGTCATTAAAAATATTGATTCGCTGAGGTGATAAGAAAAATTCATCGTTCCAGCTTGGATCTTTCTCCGTTAACTCAGCGGAATATCTAAGTAAACGCATTGGTTTCAGGACACAAGCAGGTTTTCTGTTTGTGTGGAGAATGTTGCGAGGATTAGATAACCAACTTGACATATGGATTAAACTACAAAGTTGTACGGTTTCTCTATTTCTTTTATCTGTTCAAAGACAAATTTTGAATCTGCTCTAGACAAACATCAAGTTTAAAATCATGAAGCGTCACTTAAGCCCAACACGAGAAACGTTATCGATGAAAAACAAATCAAATATCACCATGACGTCATGTGGTTTTCTTTCTTTCTACCTTTCTTTCTGTCTTTCTTTCTTTCTTTCTTTTTTTCTTTCTTTCGCAACTTTTCCATATCAAATGCGTGTCGGTAGTTCACGGGGAGAAATTTGAATTGTAAATAGAATCACTGGAACTAGCTGTGGTAAAATCGCGTTGTTTTGAATATTATAAACGAAACGACCGAAATAGAAACGAGAAGAGTAAAATTCTGTTGCAAATTCAGTAAATCCTATATATATATATATATATATATATATATATATATTGTCCATAGAGTTCGTGTGCACTTTAGACAATTTATAATTTTATTTTTATTTGCGATAGAATCTGTAAAAAATGTTATAAAGTTTAATGTACCTAGTTTTAAGTATAGCTAAAATAACTAATGTGATTTCAGGCATTACTCTAAATCAGTTAGCAAATATTTTTCGTGAACTGCAAAATCGTATTACCCTTTGTATTGCTAATGATGGAGGACATTTGGACTTAAATAAAATTTCAATAAAATCTTAAAAAAATATAGATTTACTTCTTTCTAATCCTTTTTACAGATTATTTCTATCGCAAATACAAAAAAAGTTATAAATTTTTAAAACACGAACTTTATGGACACCCTGTATATATATTCTGTATCCTTTCATTATAATTCTTTAGATATATATTATATATATTTATATTTATTTATATATTAATATATTCTCCCAGCTTTTCTGTATTGAATTTAATGTAAATAGTTATATTTTCAGAGTAGCTCGAAAAAAAAAGATTCATATAGCATTCTCAAAAATGAATTAAGGTAAATCCTTATCTAATTTTTCAGAATGGGTTGAAAGTAAATGATTTATGTTTTTAGGTCTGTCCATGTATTTTCCGTGTCCACAAAATAGGATATAGAATCCCGGTAAAGTTTTGAAGGAATTTGACAAATGGAAAACCGTTTTGTTGAAACTACATTTGATTACGCGTTTCTCCTTCCTAGGATTTTTCAGAACCCAAAACGAAAAAAAAAAGAAAATCTGAGTATGTATTTGTGTGTATACTTAACTAGTAGGTCATTAGTACTATTTCCTCTAAGCTGGCGTTTCTCATAAGGATATATATATATATATATATATATATATATATATATATATATATATATATATATATATATATAGCTCTACTTGGTGTATTGAGCACTTTAACGTTTTTACTTAATTTACTCTGTTGGTGTTTTTTTTTTTCTTTTGACCAGGCATTGCGATGCTGATTGATTATTTTCGACTAACACGGATTTCTTTAGGATTTTCTTTTTTTTACTGATTTTTTCCTGGTATCAGTTTGTTCAAATATATTTTTTATTTACAAAATATATCATCCATTTTTTTCATACCGCGAGATTATAGGTACTGAAATAATATATATATGAAATAATAATAATAATAATAATAATAATATATATATATATATATATATATATATATATATATATAATATATATATATATATATATATATATATATATATATATAATTAAGTAATGAAAAGTTTGGCAATCCATATGGATAATCCTAAGGAGGATGTAATCCAGAGAGCTCAATATCAAACCAGAGCTATTATTAAATATAAGAAATTTGAATAGAAAACAGACAACCTTATATATATATATATATATATATATATATATATATATATATATATATATATATATATATATGAAAAATTCTTCCCTTCTACTTATTTGTGCTATCCTTTTTAGTATTGGCTGCTACTGGTAGTTTTAAATGATATGCTTTTTTGTTATATGGTAAAGTTTATTGTTTGTGATATTGTAGCGCCAGTCTATAAGATCTGATGAAGAATTGTCTTCTTTAAGACATTCTGGTTTCATTGGCTTGGAACTATTTGGAAGTTGTTGATCTGATCGGTTGTATATAGCTGAGATTTTAGAAATTTCTAAACAAGTTTGACGCCACACCTGACATCTATGTATCAAGATTTGACGTTCCTATACATATATACACCTATATACATATATATGCACACACACACACACACACACACACACACACACGCAATTATATATATATATATATGTGTGTGTGTGTGCATGCATATATATTTTGTTTTTCTTTTATTTCCTTTTACTTTTAAGTGAATATAGAACTCTCTGACCATAGCTCAATTAGGTCTCATTTAAATACATATGGAGCTACCAAACTCTATCCGCCACATATTCGTTGATAATACAAATATAATAGCCTCATAGACAGGCAAAAAAAGCTAAAAATAACGGAAGCCTTATTAATAAAAATAAAGAAAAAACAATAAATGATATCAACTATGAACACAGCAACAATGTGCTGATGGTGTTTGGAAAACAAACATTCCTATAACTCTAGATACACACATAAAACTAAAATTCATCCTTCATAATGGTTAAAAATCTAGCCGAAAGCGCGCGACAATACAACACATTTAGACAATTTCTACATAATTTACGTCCAGAAAAGAAGAAAATTATAAGAACACATGAAAAATTAAATAAAAAAAAACATAACCCAGTACCTTTTCAGTCGTTTTTTAATGAAACTTGCATTAAAAAAGGATTGCTTCCCAAATACACAATTATATATACTGTAGTCATTCTAAGAATAAATCAATAAAGTTAATGTAATTAATGGAGAATTCACTTCGCTAACAGATTAAATAAGGCATTAATTCACTGACCCCTTGCTGAACGACACGATACTTGTTTGTATTAATTGTAAAATGGATTAGCTGTTCGGTCCATATTGCAAGTACTTTCGGTGAAAACATTTACCATCCTCAGGTAGAGATGTTATTTTTTCTCAATTTCAGGTAATTTCGGGTAAAATTCCAATACGAAAATGAATGCGATACTCGCCGAAAGATGTTTTATTAAAAAGCATGCTTTTATTATATTAAGAATATTTTGAACATGCAGTAATGCGACGATAGATTTTTTGGAAATTGTATTAATATAGTAATTCACAATTTCTATTAATGTAAGTGTTTTTTTTCCCCCGTTAACGTGACATGGACTATTGGTCCAATAATTAGAGCAATGTCCCAGAAGATTTCAGAAAATTTTTTCACTACAAATCAATTCTTTTTTTTAAATGATAAATAATTAAACTTAATTAAACATTTTCTATTTGGAAGTTAATGACTTATTTAATCTGTTAGCGAAGTTAATTCACCATTAATTACATAAACTTTGTTGATTAATTCTTTGAATGACTATTTTACAATATTAATTAAGCTGCGTCATTATTTAATTTATATATATATATATATATATATATATATATATATATATATATATATATATATATATATAAAAAAAGTGAACATATAAAGTCAACATTAGGGGTGACAGTCTGTTTCATGCTAGATGCAATCGTCAGGCCGAGTTGCATCTAGCCTCTAACATGAAACAGGAAACAGGTAACCTGAGGATTGCATCTAGCATGAAACAGACTCTTGCCTTTAAGTGCTGACGTCTATGTTCATTTTATATTTACAAAAAGAATTCTCTGATATTGAAAAAATTATCCCATAAATATAGCACATCTTAAGACTATATTTCTTCATATATATATATATATATATATATATATATATATATATATATATATAATGATAACACCCACCCACAGCAATACACGTCGCTTACATTATCATACTCACTTACTCACTAAGAACCAAATAACACAAAAAACACTAAACAGAGACACATCCCTCTCAGGACCAATAAAACTGTCAAAATGACCACAAATTCAGAAAGCATAGATCCATTCAGCTCTTATCTCAAATAACAATTTAAAAGAGACTGTTTACAAGGAATGTTAAACGATTCATATTAAAAAGATAAAAAAAGATAAAAAAAAATAAATGAAAACTACAGACAAAAGTTCATTTTCTCCATCAAGACATTCATTTGTGTAGTTCACTGCTACCAGCAAGCAAGGAAATATTTCTCCTCCCGATGATGGCCATTTTGCCGAAACTAGTCGAGGAATCTAAATAAAAATAATAATCTACAGCCAGTGTATTTGAATTTTTAACGAAAATGAATATTAATATATATTGAACAACCCAGTGTGTCTGAAGATTTAAACTTTTTTTATTTTTTTTTCAATATATATATATATATATATATATATATATATATATATATACACCAGATGTAACAGCAAAATTGTCCAGATCGTGTTACAGCATAATTGTCCATCAAAAAAAATGTTTAATATCTAAAAATTACAAAACTAATTGAGTTTCTTTTTGCCAGCTTTTCAGATAAGACGTTTAGCCACCTTGATGCCATTTGTCGTAAGTTATGTGAGTTATCCAGCTAAAAAGAGAGCAGGTTAAAATTGTTTTGTGTTAGATCCATTGTCTTCCCAAATGAGTAATGGTGGGAGGAAACAAGATCATTTAGGCCTTC